ATTTTCTGAAAAAGTATTTGACCCTAAAATTGAACATCGAGGAGATGGAACTGAAACCGTGATTAAACAAGATCCTGAACCACAATCCCAAACCACAATTTCCGAATACAATGAAGAATATTACGGATTTGGAAATGCAATCCCTTCATTTTCTGAAAAAGTATTTGATCCTAAAATTGAACATCGAGGAGATGGAACTGAAACAGTGATTAAACAAGATCCTGAACCACAATCCCAAACCACAATTTCCGAATACAATAAAGAATATTACGGATTTGGAAAGGAAATCCCTTCATTTTCTGAAAAAGTACTTGACCCTAAAATTGAACATCGAGGAGAAGAAAATGAAACAGTAATTAAACAAGATCCTGAACCACAATCTCAAACCACAATATCTGAATACGATAAAGAATATTACGGGTTTGGAAAGGAAATCGCACCATTTTCGGAAAAAATATTTAACCCTAAAATTGAACATCGCAGAGATGGAACTGAAACATTGATTAAACAAGATCCTGAACCACAATCCCAAACCACAATTTCCGAATACAATGAAGAATATTACGGGTTTGGAAAGGAAATCCCTTCATTTTCTGAAAAAGTATTTGACCCTAAAATTGAACATCGAGGAGAAGAAAATGAAACAGTAATTAAACAAGATCCTGAACCACAATCTCAAACCACAATATCTGAATACGATAAAGAATATTACGGGTTTGGAAAGGAAATCGCACCATTTTCGGAAAAAATATTTAACCCTAAAATTGAACATCGCAGAGATGGAACTGAAACATTGATTAAACAAGATCCTGAACCACAATCCCAAACCACAATTTCCGAATACAATGAAGAATATTACGGGTTTGGAAAGGAAATCCCTTCATTTTCTGAAAAAGTATTTGACCCTAAAATTGAACATCGAGGAGAAGAAATTGAAATAGTAATTAAACAAGATCCTGAGCCACAATCTCGAACCACAATATCTGAATACGATAAAGAATATCTCGGATTTGGAAATGAAATCTCACCAGTTTCTGAAAAAGTATTTAACCCTAAAATTGAACATCGAAGAGAAGAAATTGAAATAGTAATTAAACAAGATCCTGATCCCCAATCTCGAACCGCAATATCTGAATATGATAAAAAATATTTCGGATTTGGAAATGAAATCTCACCAGTCTCTGAAAAAGTATTTGACCCTAAAATTGAGCATCGTGGAGAAGAAACTGAAACAGTGATGGAACATGATGCTGAACCTCCAACCACTCTATCAGAAAATTATGAAGAATATTTCGGTTACATAAGTGAAAAGCCATTAATTCCTAAAGTAAATAGCGAGCCTGAAATTGAACAACAAGGGGAAGCAATTGCAACAGACAATCCAAGTATTTTTCTTGATCACACCTCCTCAACTAACTCTTTCGAGGAAAGAGCCAAAATGTTGCCACCGATCAGTTCAAAAGAAAATTGTGAAGAGTTGATATTGGATGAAGAAAATCAACAAGTTTTAGAGAAATGGTTGTTGCAAATTATGAATACCACCGGTAATATTTTGCAAATCAAGAAAATGAAAATGGATCTTCACACTTTGCACAATTTCAAGGAGATATTACAATTTTTTAATATCGTATTGGATAATCAAAGTTCAGAATTAGCATCTTATTGCTCTTTGCCAAAAACTACGTGCATCTGTTGCAATAACTGCTGTTTCAATCAGCGTCTTGATGGTTATATAGAAAAACTGGAAAATATAGTCACAAGATTGGATCCAATGAAGAGAGAAGACAACTAGAGCTGAGAAGGCAACTAAAATTAGATGATTATTCACGCAAGATATTATCTAAGGATAAGATACATTTAACTGAATACATTATTGTAAGAGTGATACTATAACTAAATGCATAAAAATTAAAAATTTTCCAAAAATAATTTTGAAAAAATCGATGTCCATTTTTTATGCAGTAATTGAATTAATAAAGCACCGTAAGTGAAACCGTATTAAAATCCAATACTGTTCCCTGATAATTTTTGAAATCATTAAATATTAAATATCGTGTTATCAAAGATGTTAAATGAATAATCTTAAGAAACTAAAGTGGAACGATATACTTGATAATGCAAAAACTTCACTTGCTTCTAAAAATTATGAAGATGGTAAAAATCGACATGTTTCGAGTGCTTATAGACCCTTATTCTTGAAGTCTAGCGAGTCCTTAAAATAGACCCTTATTCTTGACGTCTAGCGAGTCTTTAAAATGGGCCCTTATTTTTGAGAGCTCGAAACCTGTCGACTTTTTCCCATTTTCATAATTTTTTAAAACTAATGAAGCTTTGACATTACCAAGTACATCCTTTCTTCGTGCAATAATATACATGTCGTAAGCTGATTTAATAAATCTAGCTCCTTGAAATCAGCTGCTGACATTTTGCAATACAGGCTAATAAAGAAAGTTATCAGTTTCTAATTCTTCTGGCATTTTGTAAGCTTTATTCAGTGAACCGGTACACCTTAAGGCTAATAAGAAAATATGTTATCCATAGTTCAATTAGTCTGATTTATTTTAGGCAAGTTGTGATGAATTCAGAGTATTAAAGGCTTATTTTAAATAGTCGTATGAAAATAATTCGTTACAATAAGCCTAAAACAAATCAGTCTGATTAAGCTCCTGATTCTCCACAAAATTTCTTACTTGCTCAATGGTATATAGGCTGATCATAATAAGCCTACAAAAGATCTATCAGATTAGTATATACTGAAGAATTTCTCAGTCAGTCTGGCGTATTAAAAATTAACAAAGAGCCGAATTTTACAATTATCCTAGCACAGAAATATTAATATCTAGTTAAATTCACAAAAAATATTTCTTGTTGAAATTATTGTTTAGATCGATAGAAAACAATTTCATGAAACGAGTACATCTTTTTAACAATTATTTATCAATATCTTTAAGGTTCTTTTATTTTTTATTACTTTTTTTATTCCTTATTACTTCTTTTATTGTTTCAAATGACTAATTTCGCTGTTTTATAAAACATGGTTGTTCTTACAATCTATTATTAAATGTAAATAAAGTTTGAATATCTTATAAAAGGAAAAATCTTGTCAGAGAAATGCTATTTTATCATTGGTTCATCAATATTTACTAATATATATTCAATAAGAGCATGTACGGACAAATGAAATATTTTAATAACTGATCCTTAGAACCACAGTGGTTAAAATTTCATACTTTCTACACTATACACAGGGTTTGAAAATTCGAGAAAGATAATTAATTTTGAATATGATTTATAATTAGAATCTTTAGTAAATTAAGTTAAAGGACGTAGAACCTTTAGTAAGTTAAGTTTAACTAAGTAAGTAAGTTAAGTTAAGCGAAAAGAAATCACATTTTAGCTCCTTCACAATTCTGAACACTTTTTCAATGGAAAACATCTTATTCCTAGTACGGATAATTTATTTTATTTTAATTTATTTTGGCGTTGAAGTGCCAACCCAGTTTTGAGTTCACGGCTATTAATGTTCAACTTCGTAGCCTTATAATGTCGTACCCAATCCAAAAGAGAAGGGAATACTTGGACAAACTAGACATTATAGAAGACTTTGTGATTGCAGTAACCCACATTTGCGTTACATGAAGAGAAAAACCACGAAAATCTTTAGCTCAGTGATAAGGGAATCTTATCCCATTGATACCATGTACCACCGGGAATAATTTATGTCAGCACTGTGATCGGTAAGAGCTGGGAAAATCGATCAGTCATCGCTGTGGTCTGAACCAAGGACACCTCACGGGGAATCGAGCGCTGTATTGCCTGAGACACAGTGGCTCTTAATCTAATATAGTAATTTAATATTCTATTATTAAAGGTAGTGTAAGGACATCCTCTATTTGGGGTGGGAGGCGCTGAATTTTTTCCACAGACTTTGCGTTGAAGAAAACCTTTAGGAGAGACCATCAAAACTTCTCTCAGTGACAGGGAAAACCTGTGCACCAAATGCGGTCAAATAAGGAAACACGAATAAAATATCAACAAAACAAATAAGTAGATTCAACTGCATTCAGAATATTTGTGTGAGGCTCTTATTTAGAGACCTCTTTTTAAAGATACAGTCTCTTGTTGCAGTCAGAGTGCATTAAAGACGATACTATGAAGGATTTATTTTTACAGTTGAAAGTTAAATCAGAAAAAAAGAAAGTTATTTTAGTAAAAACTGAGCATATCAAACAGACAAGCGTCTTCAGGTTATTTTAAAGCTAACTAGTTTTTATGATATAAAATTAAATGCAAACTTAAACAAAAATCATAATTGTTTATTTATTTAAAATAGTTCTATTATTCAAAATTAGTAAATTTGTTTTTGCACATCATTATATCAGTAAAGGAGATTTTTATTGAGAAAAAAAATGAGCATATCAAGCAAACAAACGTCTTCAGATTTTTTAAGGCTAACTCATTTTTATGACATAAAATTAATTAAAACGTAAACAAAAAACATAATTGTTTATTTATTTAAAATAGTTCTATTATTCAAAATTAGTAAATTTGCTTTTGCACATAATTATATCAGTAAAGGCGATTTTTATGTAAGTTAAATTTTATGAATTGATCCGGTTTTCATGACGCTAAAACAAGTGGCATTTCTGCCCCATAGAATCACCCTGAGTAAAATAAAAATTGTTTACAGGAAAACCTTCGCTAATATTTTGAAGTCAATGAAGGTAGCCATTAGAAATGACCAACCGTCATTGACCACCATATTACAGCAGAGCACTCCCGAAAGGTATACATAAAAGTTTTTAAATAAGGCAAAAACTTATATGAAAAAAATAGAGATTTTTTGAAAAAATTTTTATTGTCACCGCATAATGCCTTTTAGTTTTGTTAAGGTATTTTAGTTTTACCCCGAGTTTAAGACAGTCAAACTTTTTTTCATCATTTTTCTTCCTAAAAGATTTTCGAAGAGTAATCTTGAAGAATTACAATAAGATGCCTACCTGTGTTGATAATCATCCCACCTTCCGTAACACAGATCGATGCCACCCACAAAAGCGTAAGTTTGGTCTACACAAACGATTTTTTCGTGATGGGCCCATAACCACACTCCTTCAGAAACCTCCGGATGCCGAATCACCTGTTCAGAGGGAAATGTTTTTTTTAATATTTATGAATTACCCTTTGGAAATAGTGATTCAATTTCAAAGTGGCCGGATCACGCTACTGATCAAAAATGGCATCACTACTTGTGGAAAAGGAGACTATATGTATCGGCTGAAGTTCACGCGATTATGGAAAAAGACTTTTATAAGACTTAATAGATAATAAATATAAATACTGTGACTGCAGACAGCATATTGTTTTGTTTCTATTACAAATTTTATAATGTATAATGCATGCGACTCAATAAATGTTTCTTCTAATTATTGAAATCGTTTAAGATAAAAATACTATTTACACTTTGTACAATTTTGAGTCATTGAAAGAAAACTAAATACTCATATTACGTAAGCATTTAAAAGAATGAAATAAGTCCAGAGTAAAAACTAAATCTTTAATCAAAGTTAAGTAAACGCCTGTCGATACATAATACCATCTCCCTACCCACAAGTAAAGATTCGACCGATAGAGTGATCCAGCCACTTTGAAGTTTAATTCCTTATAATAAAAGTTTCAAGGTTACTCAATTTCCTGACACTCCGTTACCATGGTTTCGGAAAATCGTATTTTTCCTCAGTTTCAGTAAGAAATTGGAATATACTTTTCGGGTTATAATAAAGGGGTTCTTCTCTGTTAATTGTGAAGGGAATTTTTAATTTTCGTGAACATAAAATAAACATTTATTTCGAAAACAAGACGATACAGTAGTAAAGAAAACCAGTAAACAAATGAACATCTCATAGAACGACCTCTCTCGTTAACATACTGTCATCGTCTTTACTCAAAAGTGCACGGCACTCTTTACAACGAACTCATTCTGCGCTAGGGGAATTACCTTGGAAACCTGAAATGGAGGGAAAAGCAAAATTTGCCAAAATCATGGTAACGGAAAAGTGTGGAGAATGGGTTAATGTGCATCTTTAAGATGACTTTTCTATTTGCAAAGAATATGAACCATTTTTTGCCGAGTAAATCAATGTGTAGATCGTGAAAAAAAGACAGAAAAGAGAAAAAAACGGAAATCTTAATAACTTTTGATCTAGTGAACAGATTACCACATAAGATGTAATCTTAAGGGAGAAAAATTCAAGTATGCTAATTAATTTTTCCAGAGGATATTTTTAAGTTACATGAAAGTAATTTAAACATACCTTGTAGCATTACCAACAAATGTGGGTTCCTTAACCTCTTACAATGTTATTTTTTCAGGACACAAAAGAATCGTAAGCTTACATTTTCATTTAGTTATTCTTAACTATAACTTTCCCCATTAAAAAAAGTGATTTTTACGGACTTCATCAAACGGTACAAATATCGGCCTATTAAAGAATACTTTTTTGCAACATGAATATCAAACCTTTAATCGTAAAACACAAAATAAAGAAGGAGCTGCATAACTGATTGGAAAAAAAAAATTATTCTAATTTTCTTTCAATGTTCAATTTAAAATCTTACTTTAATATTTCGATGCATTCTGGAGAGTTTCTTACTTGTGTGCTGGCTGTCGATGCCCAGCGCAACGTTCAGCTCCTTATACAGAAGTATGTAAATTCTAACTCCTTCCCTCTGAAAAGAAAGTTATCATCATAATACCAACAAACCACTGAATATGTTATGAAATAAACGTCAGTCAACTCATAGTCAGTCAAATCAACTGTTGGGTAAAAGTAAGCTTGTGTCTTCTTTTCAATGATACAGGGTGTTCCATAATGACTACCCTTAAATTAAAATTTTTAAAATCCTCGTTAAACATGAAGTCTAAAATCTATGTATATTAGGGGTCTTTAAATGTATATCACGTCAGTCCCCGGCGACTGACACATAGCTTTCCTTTCCGACCGCAAAAGTCACCTGTGATCGACAGTGTAAATGTGCTTAATTTTTTATTTATTACAATCAAATCTTTGCATATTTTAATCTGTTAGTTGTGCGATTCGTATTGCTACGCCATTATACAAGTGCTTCTAAGCAGAAATCGTGGCCTGACGTAGATTTCTTTAAAAATACGCTCATCGTATTGAAGCTAGAAATAAAACAAAGACTTTGTCGTATTACTAGTGAGAAATGAAAAGAAAAATATTTTTGCTGATGAAACTTTGAGGATGTTTTTGATAGTTAAACTTTTTCTGATTCCGGTACTTTTTGGGTAAAGGAACCATGAGAGCCAAGGTGACTCAGGGGATACAGCGGTCTCCTTCCAATGAGGTGAACCCATTTCGAATCAGCAATGGCTGGTCGAAGTGAATCCCGTAACCGACTCACACCAACCACAGTGCTGAGGCAAAAATATCCACAGTGGTAGACGGATCGTGGGTTAGAGTCCCCATGCCATCAGGCTAACCGTGGGAGATTTTCGTGGTTTTCTTCTCAATGTAACTGAAATGCTGGTTATGTCCATCAAGATATCCTCCACGAAGGCAAAATTTTTCCCACTACTTGATCCAGGAGTTATCTTGACTTCTGAATTAGGTTCAAAATTACAAGGCTACGGAGTTGAACATTAGAAGTCGCAAGCCCCAAAATTGGGTCGACTGTTCTACGATCGTTATTTTATATTATCATCCATGGGGCCATGAACCATGGAGCCAATTATGAAGCCAACAAACAAGAACAACTTCAGATAATAGTTTACGCAGGTCAAAGGGGAATCGATAATAAATATGGGTGCATGAACGACGACAATACCGAGACCATCAATAATAATACTATATTATCACTTACGTATCGAATACGATAATATTGCGATTATTATTGATAACTGTAATTATCGAATACGATAATGTCAGGCGATTATCATCTATAACATAACACATCAAAAAGTACTCAGTCTATTGTTCATAATAATCATTGAATACCATATTATTGTGTGTGTTGATAAATTTTATTTATGCATAAAAAATATCGGTTAAGAAAAAAATAATAAAAACTAACCAAATTGGAAAAAAAAATATCACGATCCATAGCTAAATTTTGATATTGTTTACAATGTAACGTGATATTAGAATTCGTATTTATCGGATGTATGAGGCACTGTTCGTGTTAAGGTAACTCGGAAAAGCTAGCACATGGTTCTTATAACCGATAATTTAACAAGGAATCGAAAAATACATATTATTTTTATTACGAAACACATTCCATTATTTCCCATGCAACGCAATGGTTGGCGTTGCTTTTTATAAAAATAAAAAATATAGAAAGCATATTTTTTTTTCAACAATTCATTTTTATTCATTGACATATTTTATTATTATGATTACTTCTAGAATTTATCGAATTTTCTTCAATGGACACTTACTAAGGCACGGTGGCTCAGGGGAGAGAGCGTTCACCTTCCAATGAGTTGAACCAGGTTCGAATCCCAGCAATGGCTGATTGAAACGAATTCCGCAACAGGCTCACACCGACCACATTACTGACGTAAAATATCCTTAATGGTAGACGGATCGTGGGTTAGAGTTCCCTTGCAGTTAGGCTAACCTTGGGAGATTTTCGTGGCATACCTCACCTTGTAACGCAAATGTGGGTTGGTTCCACCGAAAAATCCTCCAGGAAGGCAAACGTTCAGCGATGGTTATAAAATAAGAAAAAAGACACTTACTGCTTTTGTCCTGAGCACGTGATCGAGCTGCCAATAATGCCCCTGCAGGGTTGGCCTTTTCAAGTAAATTTCAGGAGAAAGCCACCAATCTGCTATGAATATTTCTTCCTTCGCTTTCATTAGAATTTGGGCTACGGCCTCAAAGTACGTAGCCCCATCAACAATCCTAAGGTTTTTTTTTAAAAAAAAATGGTTATTGGATACTCTTGATAAAGTTTTATTACTTATTTAAAAACTGATCCACTTCCTTTCAGTGGAGTACATCCAATTGAAAACTTTAAAAGTTTTAAAATTAAAATTTTGGGAAGTAAATTTTTAGCTCAAGGAAAGTATTTCCTGAAAAATAAAATATTATTTTCATGAAAATTAATTATTGCGGAACTTACGACGAATTTGACTACAGATAATATTCAATATGTTTTCATTTAATTAATTGACAAATTTCTAAACACATAGTTTTTTTTTTCACTTAATATTTGTAACTTGAAGAAAAAATAAACTTCACCTATTTTTCTTTATTTTAGGATATTAGTGTGATCGGTTTGAAAAACCATAGATCTGGTCATTCTATTGTGCGTTTACATACTGTTAATTATATTTGATGAATTATTGTAAATTATATTTAATTAATTATTGTAAATTATATTAATTAATTATTGTAAATTATATTTAATTCATTATTGTAAATTATATTTAATTAATTATTATAAATTATGCTTGTTTAGAATTCTAGACAAAAATTAAAGACAAAACGATAAACATTTCACAAATTCAATATGGGAAGATACAAAAATGTCATAGAAATATTTCAAAATCACTATTGAGTAAAGCGGGAGAACAAAATGTTTGATTTCCGGTTGAAATTTGAAGGTGTTTCTAATAATCATCAAATGGCAACCAAACAGGTTTCTTTGTATATTCGTCTTTCTCAATGGTGGCAATAGATAACAATTTTTACGGAACTATGGCGTAACTGCCACTACAAATATTAAATACCAAAATCACTTGTATGTAAGATATGTTAACTGGATTCTATCACGAGAGGTACCTTTTGATAGATGAAGGTTGACATAGTCGATAATTAAATCCACCAGCGGACGTGATATGAACTTGCCAACATTGATGGATGATGGTCCACTTTAAAACAGTTGATTTGCTTAAAAATATACTGCTCAGAAGGTGAAGTAAATTAAATCTCCCGGTTAATAAAGACAGAAAAAAATTGAGAAAAAAATGCTATAAATGCTATAAAAAATGAAGAAAAAAAATGGGCGGAATGCTATAAAAAGACGAAGAAAAAATAATTATGAGCGAAATGCTATAAGCAAAAAAATGAAGAAAATATATTGAGCAAAATGGATATAAATAAATAAACAGCATGAATCAACTAGTGGTAACAGTTCATCGAATTCTATCACAGATAAAATTCTGGAAGGGGAATAATGTGACGTAACTACCACTATAAATATTGCATACCGAATCACTAGTATATAAGATATGTTAACTTGATGCTATCTTAAGGTACCTTTTGATAGATGAAGGTTGACATAGTCGATTCATAATTCCCCACAGTACACTAGGAATGTTTCGCAGCAACACCTTAATTAAGTTGGAGCGAGTTTTCAAGGTGGTTCAACCTGCAAAAATATTTATAAATGCACGTTTTTTTCTCGTTGTTTTAATCGTTCAGTCGGCGTGGTGGGTTCTTCCGTTCGTCCCCGCCAATCATGACGTATTGTTCATCTAATCAATACATTCTAATATAAAATTCCTAGTTTTTTTTTAAAAATCCGAAAAATACGTGCGCAGAGTTAGGTGGTTGAGGAGTGTGTTGCAAAGGCCAGATAATTTCTACTATCATCTGCCGTACGATCAAAAGTGCGGTAGTGCTGTGGCGTAACTACCACTACTAATATTAAACATCTATTCGATAGTACATAAATGTTAACTTGTTCCATACAGAGGTACCTTCATTTGACGTAGTCAATATTACGTTCCCCACATTGGTGATCCGGACACATTGGTAATATGAACTCGCCAACATCGATGGATGATCCAGATTAAACAGTTGATTTGTTCACAAAAAAGCGGTTTAAAATGCGATGAAGTAATCACAATTCTCCCGGCCAATAACAAAATAAAAATTATTCTAGTTTCATAATTCCACTACAAAATGAAGAAAATTGTGACCCATTCTCAAAATGGTTGTTGTCTAATTTTTTGGAAAAGAAACTTTATTGTGTTTTCATCTTGGAAATCTTTAACAGTAATCCTGAACTGCTCGGTACACAATTTCGCAGACATATCTTAATGCAGCTCCGACGCATTCTGTGTCAATTCTTTTGGTCACTGAATAGACATCGAGATCAATATTAACATTTTCGGCTGGGTACAATGTTGTTTGATGGAGATTGTAAGCAGCATCATTCACCTGTTTCGGATTCACCATTTCATACATGAAATATGATTTGAAAGCTAGACTTTTTCTCAATTTTGCATCAATAGTGAATGAATCATTTATATTGCGTGGAAGACAGTTCGCGGTCTTGTGCAAGTTATTCGGTACGTTGACAATAGATCCTTTTACCCCTAACTAGTGATCAACATCCAGTTCTCGTATTTGCATGAAAGGAGTTCGGAGCGCCACCATTCAATCTTCGGTAGGGTTCAATTCTCTCAACCACTTTGGTAATTTTGTAAGGGACGGGCTTCATGCTTGCGTTTTCGAACGGAATCCTTTCCTTTTTCTGTTTGTGTGTAACGCTTAAGATATTCCCGTCTACGTTATTTGGCTTCGGCTTTTTCAGCCTCGGTAAGTTTAAGCCTTGGCATCGTTTTCTTCTTGCTTTACTTTTGGGACCGTGTCAATCAGTTTGGACCCTCTTTATGTGTGATATTCACCTGAATTAGTATTGAAAACGATCCAATTTGAACTGTAGATTAGAATTTCTGATTCTTAATTAAAACAATAAAAACCAAAATATCGTTCAAATGATAAAATTCTCTTTTATTCACAACTCAAGAAGTATTTATGGGATCTCTCTGATCCCATATCTCAAAAATAAACCCACCCACTTAATGCATAACAAAATTAAAAGTTAAAAAAAAGAAATTCTAAAAAAATTATCAAACAGCTGCGGTCGCCATAGCAACGCATGCGCACTGTTTACTATTACTCTTGACATTGTTGTTGAAAAGTGGGGACGACCAGAAATCCAAACCAGGACCCATTTTGCCAATGGGCAAAAGAGAGAATAGAAATAAATAAATAAGCAAACAGCATTAATCAACTAGTGGTATTCGTTCATCGAATTCTATCATCGATAAAAATTCTGGAAGGGGAGTAATGTGGCACAACCCTCATTCAATAACAAATGTTAACTTGATTCTATCTCGAGCTACTTTTTGATAGATGAAGGTAGACATAGTCGATAATTATATCCCCATATTGCAATTTGCGATACTCTCGTCTCCAAATCATCTTTCAATTTAAGATGGATCCCACTAAAACAACCCAATAGAACAACCAAACCAAAAAATCATTTCCTTTTAATGACAACCTACCATCTGCATTCCGAGAGAGGACGCACAAGAGCGTACGAATTGAATCTGTTTGGACGAACGAAATCGGCAGATTTTCTGACCATCATATTAAATTCAATAATCCAGGACTCCACTTCATACTCGCTTTCACATTTGACGTACAATTTCCTATTAAATGTCAATAAAATGTGCTTTTGATTCATATTCAATCATATGCATAATTATTGATTGATATTTTATTTATTGATGCTTACTTGTTAAGATTCTGTATCAAAATACCCATTTTCGACTTCGATCTCCCGCCACCCGATCTGACACGAAACGCTTGATCTAATAATAGAACATTTTCTATTTGTCCTGAGTGTGGGTTTAGAAGTCCAACGAAGTCAACTTTCATGAAAAGCCACCTGTAAAATGAAACATTCCTTTAAGCCCAATGCTTAATTCATTAAGAAATGACATAATTTCGTTTTTTACTACAGATCAATATTTTTTATTTTAAAAAATATTAATCATCTACAGGTTTCTGCTAAAGTGTAGAAATCTTATATTCTACAGATTATCTAGCTCATGTGCCAGATTATCTAGGAAGACCGTTAAAGTACTAAAAACAAAGTGTTTCATTTCTCAACGTACCTAACTCATCTGCAAACTACCTAGATAATATCTACTTGTCTACTAAATTGAATCTTAAGATCTCTGCTGGAACAAGAGCAACGTACACTTAAATTAACATAACAGGGAGATTTCGCAAATTTATGTTAGCTTCCGTACTCTCCCATACAGAGGCGTACGCAAGGGAGGGGTTTAGGGGTTTGAACACCCCCCTTGAGCTCTGACAAAATGGCAAAAATAAAAATTTTAGTTGAAATTATGCGGGTATTATTTTTTAAGACTATACATTTTTATTTGCCATATGCCTACCTTTTTTTCTCACGGTATTTCTCAGAATACTGAAAAAAAACATTTACTCTAATAGGGTTGTACTTTTGAAACCAAATTCACGTGATACTGTTACGGAATGGTTTCTTTCTGTTCTGCCAGTCGCGATAGTTTTCGAGACTGGCTGTCATTCGCGAGGTCTTTACGCGATGATTCTGGAATCTTAGACGTTCTGTCGTCTCTGAGACAATTCGAGAATTTTGGAGATGCGGTGAAAAATTATATAAAAGGGGGAACGGAGTACAATTTAAGTTTTTCTGTTGTTCAAAATGTGATACTTCCGTTGAAGAAAACGTTTCTAGCATAACAAAATCTGATGAATGTGAAAGTGGCCCTCAAAGTGTTACTCTCCACCCATATGACAATGAACTTTTTTTCAGAAGACATTACATGCTAGAAGATATTACATTATGTTCTTAAACTTAAAAAATTAAATCAAAATTTAACTAAACAATGTTGTCTAAATAAAAAGTCAAAACTGTCTAAATTAGGGAAATAATAGTTCTTTATCACATACTCGAATTTCTTTTAGTAGCTTCAGAAAATTATGAACACCCCACCTTGAAAAAATTCTGCGTACACCACTCTCCCGTACGTAATATTTCAAGTAATTGCGCATGCGCCCGAGAAAAAATATCACACTTACGTAAGTGAAAATAAGAGATTTTGCAAAAATCCGTAAGTTAAAAACGCTAGCGTATTGGAATATGATTTTAACTTTTGATCACAAAATCAAAACAAACATTCACGATGAGCAGAATCATTTGGTAGATTAATGAATTCAGCGATAAAGAATGCAGCTTATTATTATTATTAATATTTTAAAAAATATTATTGAGCTTGATTATTTAACTTTTTTTAAAAACTAAATTGTAGGGGAGAGTGGGGTCAATTGTAACAGGGTACGATTGTAACAGAGCAAACATTTCGAGTGTCGGGTTCTAGATTTGGTTCCTAGGTGGCGCACAAGGTGTATTTAAAGTTCAATGAGGGCATGAATTATTTTGCTGCTAGGGGTCTTTGATATTTTCAATGACTCTACGTCATCAATCACTTGTTCGTTTAGTATTACTGAATAATTTCCACTAGATATATTACGCATTTTTTAAAATGGTAATTTATCTGCATACGAAATAAGTGGAAATAGAGAAATTTTAATGAATGAGGAATGTATAAATGAAAAAAAAAAAAAAAAAAAAAAATATATGTTACATCATTACATAATTCCGGTAGTAAATAATCACATTATTTATAATCAACATGAATTTTTTCTCCTAGAGTGAAAAACTGTGAATTTTTGAAATAAATAATAATCATTGATTTGCATACCAATTTATATAAATGAATAAAAATAAATTTCATATAATAATTAAATTTATATTAGTTAACATCAAAACCAATATTAGCAAGTGGAATAAATTTTACATTAACTCANTACTTTACTCGTCTGTCAATTAATACTAATAATATATTGGATTTTTTGTTAGATAAAAATAGTTAAGTAAAAAATGTTACAATTGACACCACTCTCCCCTATAGTTAACATATAAATATAATTCATAATTTTAAAATAGCAAAAACATATCTAGTTTCTTATGGAACTTGGGTAATTGGACAACTATATTGTTGAACAAAAATCAACAAAATTATTTTTTAATGAATGAATCAATGGTTATAAGATCATTCAATTCGTATCTAAATTTCATCAATACATTTCTTCAAATTCGCCTTCCATGTCCGTGTTTTTAGTTCGAAGACAGGCTTAAACAGAAAACAACATTCAACAGCTGTAAACAGCGTGCTTGTGGCTTCGTATTTGCAGCGCAAATCACGCCAACATAGTATAATGATACGTAGCATCTAAAATAAGCGCGAGCATACGCAATTGCTTCAATCTTACATACTGGAGCGTACGGAAACTAACGCAAAAGCGCGAAATCTCCTTAATGTTATTGATATCCCTTTATCTAAAAAATCAAGTGACTACAATTGACACATTAATTGTTAGAATCACTTTAAAGACAATCATGCAAGTAATCAAGCAGTTTGAAATATTATTACAATTAAGGAAATAAACATGGCATTTATTTATTATTTTTCAATATCTAAAGAATCGTGTTAGTAAATACAATAAAACAATCAACCCATTAGTTGATAAAATGAAACAAGCTTTTAATTTTTAACAATACTGAAAGCTTTAATGCGCACATTACCTGTGTAAATTGCGAAAAACACTTAATTTCAACGACAACTTGATTTCAACTTGAATCCACACATTAGTTGATAAAATGAAACAAGCTTTTGATTTTTAACGATACGGTAAACTTTAATGCGCACATTACCTTCTGTTTGTCTACGATAGGTACTCTGCCAGACATTCGTCCGGAGCTGTGGCGGTGACTATGGTAACGAGGTATGATTATTTCAATTAGGGATGCGGGGTCCCTCTTTAGGGCTGGTTTCGGCACAAGAAAAGGAGACCCCTTCATTGAAGCCACCCTCCCTAAAATACCCTCTTCTTGTTTCCATAGCACCAGACTGCCGCAGACTTAGTGGCGGTCAGAGTACCTATCTTAGACAAACAGTATGTAAATTGCGAGAAACACTTGATTTCACACTTTAACGAATATGCGCTGGATAATGTGCATATTAACGCTTTCGAGCTTTCTCGGTAACATTTATAATATAATAAAATATCTGTATTACGGCGAACAGAGGTGGAATTTACAGCAGTGAAGTTGAACGTAAGTTAAATACCTGGCTGCGAGGGGAAAAAAAGTTTTCGATTGTTTTCTTTTCAATTTAAAACTTTTTTCCTGATATTTGCCCACGACGTTGTAAAATGAAGGAAAAAAAAGAAAAACAATTCCATTCAATAGATATGTATCAAACAAATCTATTTACGAACTAATAGTAATAGACATAAAAATTAAAATGCTTGTTTACTGAATTCTTCCCATACATAAACTTGTCTATTTATCCACCGGTCGGAGAAATTAAAACTTCCAACAAACAACTTCAGTCTGATGGAAATTAATGGAAAGAATAATAAAAAGCAACTAATATGCTTTGTTTATTAATGTAATGTCCATCTTTAGCTATAAAAAAAAACAGAAATGAAATTGAATTTCGGCGAAACTGATGCATTATAATAAATTTTTTATGGAACACAATTACCAAAAATGCATGCAGTAAATTTGGTAAACATCGTATCCATATGCGCAGCTTGTGTAAATAATCTATTTTTTTAAACGCTTTTTTTCCCCTCATAAATTTCAATATAAATACTGAATCTTCAAAAGTGAAAGCTATAGGTTCATCCAATAACAGCAATTTCAAGATGTCTTCTTTACTTTACTTGCTTGTCCTCGTCATTTTGGCCCTTTTTGCTACTCTAGGTAAGTCTTAAAATATATTTCACAAATAATAGTTATAACGTCGATTTTTCCCACCATTTCTGTACTAAATGATTGAAATTAGGTCTCTCTCTACCATGAAAATAATGAGTATTTTTATACTAAATTGTATTTCGGTCTTTCTCTAAAACAAGTATAAATTTATCACTGTTCAGCATAAAAAAGATGTCTTTTAAATGGAAATATGAGTTTCTTGTATATTTTTGGCTCAATTAAAAACGGATTTGTTGTTTTTTTTCTTACCAAGCACTATTTTTTTAATAATCCAGAATTTAACTTGGCGACTTTAAGTACTTTAGCAGAAAACAATAACAGCTTGCAAAAAAAGAGGGGGGAAATAGGATTATGGCCAATTTGGCGACAATTTCAGTGATCTCGGTGACAAAAGCCTTTTCTACCTTCCCGAAATTTTGAGGCTTTAGATGGTTAGAAGCGTGATATCCGAGAATTCACTTTTAGCATGATGTCTTTTTTTTCTTCTTTTTTTTTACAAAAACGGTATTTTATAGACCATTTTGATTCTGATATATGAATCAAGCAATTTTTGCACTTACTTTTGTATATACAGTTGTATCTAAAGAACAGAAATCACATCCACACCTCTTGGCACTATCTTTGATTCATGTAAAATTTTAACCCAATTAGAAATAGGGAATTTCATCGTTAGCATTTTCAAGATAGAAATGTAATATTTTACCCTTGTTTTTAGAGTTTTGAAAATGTTTCATGTTTTTTAAACATATTTCACGTATTTAACATATTCACGCTTAGAGAGCTTTATTGTAATACCCAATTTGGATTTCAGCAATAAACAATAGTAAATGTATAGTTTTTAAAATACATTCCTAAATTTACTAGCCGCCCCACGTTACTGTTTTAAGTTTTAAAAAAAAATCGGCAGTAGTTCTAAAAGTTGTCGAACGCTATTTCTACTATACTCCTTGCAAGTTAAGAAAAGACCATTGCGGTATAGGATTTAAGTAATTATCAAATCATTAGTAGTTCCATTTTATTAAGCTATCAAATAATAAATTCATATTTTCAAAACAAAATAAAAGCTTTTAAAAGTTAAACTCGTCGGACAGAAATTTAATTCGCGTTTTTTTTGCGATATATATCATAGAACTATTAAAAAAAAAAAAAAAGGTTATAGTTACGTAATCTTACTGGAATCCTAGACTTGGCGACATATTTCGATAAAAAACGCGAACATTCGTTCTTGAAAAAGAAACAACTATATGACGTAGCAAGAGCATTGGATTTGAGTGGTCCAATAAAAATCGCGAGTCTTATACTGACATGCTCTTAACTAACCAAATGCGAGTTAAAGAATTTTTACTTTTGTATTGCTGTAGAAGAAAATCATCTGCAAGAAACAATATTTATCATCAGTATCTTTAAATGCTAACAGAAAGGCTTATATTTGTTACGATATTTAGACATCATTTCAATTAATTCTTATTGCTTCTTAATTGATTATTCAATAAGTTTTGTTTTACTTATTTCACACGATTTAAGGAAGCAAGCAAAAAGAAGGCCATGCTACGCCGTTTCAAGAGTTGGCGATGTTAATAATTATACGCACTTGGAACTTGGCATCCATTTAGCGTACACTTAGTTAGATGCAAACTGGCTAAAGGATAATGGTTTTTTCTTAACTCAACAGAGTATAATCTAATGTAGCCGACACCTACTTTCTTACCCTTCATGCACTCTCAACGACGGATATCAAAAATTCAAACTAAAATCCAGATAGCATTAGAGTTTGTCCTCAATTAAAAGGTAAAACGTGTGATTTGTTACGCAAATTTACAGCAATATTATCAAAGTGTTACGTTGGACTTAATGCTTCAAACTGGATGAGATTTTGTCCAACATAAGCAGTATTTGAGAGAAAAATAATTTCAAGGCATTTATTTCCCTTCAACAAAGTTATATGTTTCGATGCTTAAACTGTAACATCATAAATATAAGTTTAATAATCATATAAATACGTTTAATAATCATATAAATACGTTTAATAATCATATAAATATAGTTTAATAATCACAATCATAATAATAATCATCACAAATATGAGTTGAACGAAAGAGCTTACAAAATTAATCTTTGTAGGAAAATATTTTTTTACTATTTTACTCAAATTTTAATTTTTTGTAATAAGTTAGTAAATGATATTTTAAAGCTAATTATTGGTCTGAAAATTTTCAATTCTACATCAAAAATCTATCATCTTTACTCTACATCTATAGAAAATCTATCATAATCTATATCTTACTCTACATCAGACCATCGAGAAGTCCGCTTAATCCCGTCTACCAGTGGTTCTTTTTATGTTCTTATTTAAAGATCAAGTGATAAAAATGAATGAAAGAAATCTGATTCTGGGAGAAAAAAAAAACTAATTTAAGGTTTTGAGATTGATCAGGAGTCAGCATTCGACTGAAATCTTAAAAACAAAAATATGCATGAACATGGTAAGCATTTATTTGCAACCTCCAAAAATTTCAAAACAAAACTTATAATTTTTGATATTGAGAAGAAATAAAATTTGAGAGTTGAATCGGTCAAGAACCATTCTTTTTCCTTCAAATTCCTCTTCGACCAATATTTTCTGAGTGAAAGTTCTGTTGTCTTCTTCACCTTTTCTTTGTTTTCCTTGTCTATGAGTGGACAGGAAGCGTTTTATCCCATCATGGCACGGTCCATCTTCAAAAACTTTTGGAGGAACTGATTTTGCACGTTATTTATTTGACAAGACTTAGAATCTCTCAAAATGCAAGCGATTGTGATCCAATCGTCGTTTTTGTGAAAAGTTTACATAAATTGTTCTTCCACTTTATTCTTCACTTGATATTTTAATTTATTTAGAAATTTTACATGTCTTTAAAATGTACACTAAATTTATTATTATAACATTTCTTCCCTTCTTGTTTTTGTTTTTTCTAGCATTGGCCGGTAAGCAGTAAATATTTTGCATTAATTAGCATACTTTAGTCCAACTTTTAAAAATTCCACTAAATTCATTGATCTAGTTTCTTTTTTTTTTTAAGATAAATAATAATTGATGTTTTTTTCCTCCTTCTAGAGCCAGGTTTGGGAGTATTGGGAGGTGAGTATATATATAACTCTAAATATTAAACAGGCAAGCATTAATCAGAATAAAGTTAAAGGATAGACAATCTAAAAATTTTGTGAAAATTTGTAAATCCATTATATGTTTTGTGGGGCGAATGTTAATTAAGAAAATCGTGATGATTTTCATTGTAAGCATTTCATTCTGTAAAACATTGGGCGCTCAAGAATTCTAGATGCTTGATGCAAGTAGTTACACTTTAAAATTGAAAAACATTTTTGGTGAAAAAACTACCATTTCCATTTTGGCATTAAGATAATTGGAGTTCGTCATTCTGGAAACTTGTAAAGTGCCTATCTTAAAATAATCATAAATTGTTAGATGTCAAATGTTACAATAATGTAATTTATTGCTGTAGCATTTTATTTGTTAGCTACATTATGTTCTGAAGATTCTAGAACGTTTAGAGCATGATGTTTGAAGGTATTCAATTTCAATACTCTGTTATAGAATATAAACTCATTCAGAGGTCGCCTTGCAACGCTTATTCACATGCATTCTACAGTTTATAGTTTTTAAATTCACTAACAAACATGCTCTTCTACTTAGTTTTTTTTTAATCTTCAATAGGCAGGAATATTTTCAGATGTTTTGTTAAAATAAACTACAAATTTTATAAAAATAAGGTCTTGTTTCAGTGGTTCCGTAAAGAATTTAAAAAGTGATCTGTCTAAACTTTTTTGGAAAAGGTCCTGTAATTGTATTGTCGTGAAAAATCTTCTGACTCTAAAATTGCCAACGAAATGGGTTATTTCTGTGAGGGTCCTGTTTTCGGAAATGCTCGAAAATAGGGCTCTGTTTTTCTAAAATAAATTACATCAATTCTTTTCAAGAAATTGTAGTTTTAACATTTTAGCTCTGTTTTCCAATTTTGTAATGCAATATTTCGTAGAAGATCCATTTTTACTGTAAATAAATAGTGAACAATCTGTTTTTACGATAAAATAAATCACGAAGGGTTTGTTAGCAGACCCATATTTTTCCTGATAGAGTTTTATTTTTAGTATAAACAAATTTAAAATGGGTAAGTTACAAATTTGCAAAAACTTTTTACCGTAAGATAAAGATTTTTAAAAAAAAATTTCTATTATGCAAATATTAATAAAACGCATTTTTCTATAAATAAAATAAATCTAATATAATTTTTTAATCAAATTATTTACTTTTAACATATCAATTTCTGAATGAATTGTGACACGTGATGTCAAGATTCCTATGGTTGGTTGACCATGTAAAGCTAAGCACAGATGGCGCTACAGGTTAAAATTTGTCGTAAAACTTCCGGGCTACTGCTTAAGATTGATTTTTTTGCCAAAGCTTGAAAAAGTGAGCTATCCAATAGTATTATGCTTTTAGTGTTCTTAATATAAGGCATTCTTTCAATTTAACTTTCAACGAAACAAACAACAAATGAATTCGGAAGACTCCGCAAGCTTGTTATGAGGCTACCCAAAAAATAACAAATGGCGCTATTTTACACAAATACAGCCAAATAAGAGATAACATTCAAAATATGATAAACCTTACACCTTATTTATATTCTGATATTAATTTTTTTAAATTTGCTGTTGGCTCACGACCTGTTAAAATTTATAAATAACAGAAAACTCTCATGAGTGAAAAAATTACGCGTACATTTAAAAAATAAATCACATTAATAAAACTTCCAAGAATATTAAGCCTGTTCACACATCACCTCGTAAGCATAAGATAAGCGGAGGTAGACACGGGAAGTTTTCTGAATTTCTTCAGGTTCTAAGAAGCTTTTTATTGTTTACATTCAGTCAACCCTTCTGTGATTTGTACTGTGAGACTATTTTCGATGCTCTGTTTTATTATTTTTTAATCGATTTATGACAATAAACTATTTTCTGTTTCAGGTTTAAAAGAAGGAGCCGATGAGATTCTCAGCACTGCAGGAGCTCACAATCAGTGAAAGCTCACGGAAAAGCCCCAACACTGGCGGAATTTTCTTGGAATAAAAAAAAAATATTAAAAAATTTTAAAAAAAAACGTGATTATGTGATTATATTATGCAAGAAAAAATTTTTTGTAAATCCTTTAATTCATATTTTTTAGATTAACAGCGAATGTAAAAAATATCAATCTTCAGAATAGTCAAAAATAAATCAAAGCGACTTCTTAGTCTAATGTTTTATATTTCTTTTCGTTAAATAAAATAGGTTGAGTCAAAAAGAAGTTCGGCTTTGAAAGAAATGCACACAAAAGTTGAATGGCTTACATAAAATATATGTTAAAATAAGTATTTTGTTGACTGAAAAGGGCACAAAGGAATATGCAAAAGAGCACTTGTTAAAAGAAGTGCAAAAAAAATATGCAAATGAAGTTTAATCAATTACGCAATTATTTATATCCTACAAAATTATCTTTGATAACTTATAACCTCAGCATTGCTAAAACGTTTAAAAAATGCACTACTTTTTCAAGCAATAAAATGCTCTGTGTTTTTAATTCGACATGTCAATTTAGTTATGATAAATAAATGTTCTAATTTATATCCTAAAATAATTATTTTATGGACTCATGAATAACCATAATCTAAGAAAATAAGTATTTTATGGACTCATGAAATGCACTCAAAACTTAAGTCAAATTTGTCGTCCATTGTTCGACTAAAGACACTTAGTTTTTAAGTCAGAGGCCATTATTTTTATTATAAAATTTTTATAAATGTGAATATTTTTTTATATAAATTTCTCAAGAGTTACACATTTCGGAAGCAAGATATCTTGCTGTTGCTGTTTCTAATACCGCTTGTCAATATCAGTAAGCCTGCTTGGTGAAACCACGCGAATTTTAAGGCAGATGGTGCATTTCTTGTTTTTCAATGGCGCCATCTATAGCCAAGTATACGAATTTAGTCACACATACCTTACAGCCCGCTTTAGAGGGCGGACCCATTCCTACACCCATTCATTCATCCACAGATCGTAATTTTGGCCTGAACCAGAGAACGATCCATCTCTTATTCAGTACCCCCAAAGGTATAATTTGTTATGAGAACAAGGTGGACTTTGTGACCAGACAGATATAAAATGCACCAGTCACCATGGGGAGTCTTCGACAGGCGGGGATCAAATCTATGTCCTCTTGGATATGGGCCCAAAGCCCAACCAACCAGACAATCCCAGCCTGCAAAATATCTTATGAAGAACACATATATATTCTTAGCATTTAAGAATAAATTTTTTTGGAATCATAAATTATTTTCCTTAAAATAATTTGCTATTACTTTTCAAAACCCAGAAAGTTGGGTCACCCTCACCCTCTTTTTCTACATTATTAACACTCAAGAATAATAACTATATCCTTCGTGAATAGACTATGCATGTCAAGATGACGCAATTTTTCTACTCTCCACACTTTTCCCCTCTCCGTTACAATGATTACGTCGAATCTCACTTATTTTCTATCGCAGTACGTTTCAGTAAGAAGTTGGAATATACATGAGTGGTGTTGAGCTAGATTTGCCGAGATCATGGTAACGGGGAGAGAAAAAAGTGGGGAAATTGCGCAAATTTGAGACTTGTAATAAAACTTGTGAAGTTAAATATTCAGTGTCCGAGCTAAGAACTTCATATTATTAGCCTGAAAATTAACCAAATATCAAAAGTACTAGCCAAATTTCAAAATTCTTAGCTGAAAGCAAATCTTAAAAATTTTTAAGAATGATTTTTTTTACCATAGAAAACTTCAATTCAAAATGAAAATTTACTAAAAATTAAATTATTTTATAAAATGCACATTCAGATCAAGAAACATTTTGCAGATGGAGAAGAGAAAATGAGCAATGAATGGGAGAGAATGAAAAGTGTAGATGTTGTTTTATTGTCTTTAAGAAAATGGGAGTAGGTTGGTAATAATTTTTGATAACTTCTTAAATTGGAGCAGTAATACAAGGATAAACCTGAAGCAACATTATGTTATTGTCACGAAGAAACATATTTTTGCAGAAAATAGTTGAATGCATCTTGCTGCCATTTAATCTGCTTTATTGACACCAAACCAAAGGAAAATAAATCATGACTATGATATCGCCTGATCCGTCAGAGAAAGTGGTAATCTAATATAATTCTAATTGGTTATGCGACGCATCTAACGGAAATTACTGCCTTCGAATAAAAAGTACAGCATTCGTTCAGAAAAATTCCCTTGGACTTTTTTTTTATAGTATCGAGGAGTATCTGTATTTTTCTTTTCGGTAGAAAAAAGCATTCGCCAAAACACAATTTTTTTCGCTGAATTTCCGATTTTATTGTATTTGGCGAGACGGCGAATGCTTAGGCCCTGAATATTTTTGATTATGATTAATTTTACTGTAATTCTAAACAATTAGCAAACTTAGAATTAACAATTAGAACGAACCTTTTACTCCAACAGGGGCATATTTCAACACAAGGTTTGGTGACAGTTGCCAGACAGCGGTTCCGGAAACCATATCTTCTCCAGACATAGCCTTCTTTACCTTTCGGTCCTAATTCATCAATGAAACTCAAGGGACCTATTTCCAAAAACTCTAACTGAAACAAAACAGAAAAAAATCCTTCATATCAGAAGTGATTGCATAAGTAATTAGACCTATTTAATACCGAATGAAATACAATACATTTTCATAAAAAAAAGTAATACTGTGGATGGTGTTTTCAATATGAATTCAAACAAGAATCTCGAGCTCTGAACCTGCTCTACTTCCGGTTAAAAAATTATATAGCTGCTTACTACAGCTTATTCTGCGAGTTGATATTTTCAGACAGATTAATTTTGTTCTTAATGAAATAAATAAATAATGTAATTTCTTTGAGCAAATCTGCTGTCTTTCATAAGATATTAATGATGTTAAGTAATTCGGGTGAGTTTGAAGTGAAAATTTGTTTTAGTTATTTTTATATGTATTGTTAAAAAAGATGACATGGTTTCTAGATTTAGGAAGATCTCGCTTTTTTGACAGACCCTATTTGTCCCTGTTTACTACTGTTTATTCTTATTGCAAGCCGTGCATCATCATGTGTTAGTGTTAGCATATTGTTCAAGAAGCGAGATTGAGTCCATTTTACAAATTATCATTAAGGTTTAAATTTCGAACAATGTTTTAGAACGATTTTTTTTTTCCTTCTTTTTTTTCAAACGACGATTCTTCCGCTTTAAAATGACAGGTCTTAAAATGCCGATTCTTATAACTTTTTATTTTTTTAAACACAAATAATAAATCAGGTAACAAATACACGTGTTCAAGAAATACTACTGAGGATAGTCTCAAAACCATTTGGTTCACGTTGTCAGCCAAATGGTTTCAAAATAGAACAGAAACAGTAACCCCGAAATATAGACTGTAAAGAGTGCTTGCAGTGTACCCTAGTGTAGAAAACAACATCCATAGTCCATCTTACGAAAGAAGATGATTGTCCGTTGTTCACACACCACATGCGACAAAGTTGCTTTTACGAATTCGGAGGTACCTCTGAAAAATTGATTAGTAAAAAATACATTCAATTGCAAAAAACTCTTCAATCAGAATCTATCAATCAGGTATGGGAAAAATTTGCTTAAGAACCCTTTAAAGTATTAAGTAAATTTTAAGTTTTATGCTTTATGCATCACATGCAATAAATAAAACTTATTACGGAGTGACCTTTCCTTCAGTTAAATGCAACTTAAACATTAGTAAATTTAAGCACATTTCAATGCAGCTTAAGCAGTAGTGAATTGCAGCACGTTTCAATACAACTGAAGAATTAGTAAATAGAAGCACATTTCATTAAGAGACTATTAAATATCTAGTCAATTTTTAAACAAATTGAACTCAATTCAATGATTTTTTTGTAAAAAAAATACTAAAACTTAACTGAATTTATGTTGAACTTTAATTTGAAATGCTACTTAAAAAATATATGTGTATTCAAAAGAAATATTAAACGTTTTTTGAGTTTGCCTTTTACTAAATCAAACTAAATGATGAAAAATCAGCAAAACTTTACTGAATTTATGATACTTTAAAGATAATTAAAACAGTAAAAGTTTAACTAATGAGAAATTAAATGCGGTTTGAAAATTTTTTAACTAGTTGAGAGCTTCGTCACTCTAGTTTAGACCACTTTAGTCTCCGGTGACTGACTGCGCAAAGTAGATATGAAACAGAACAACTTACAACGTTTTAGGTAGTTACTGAGAATTTATTTGAAATTCACTTAGTTTTTATTTATTACCGATCAAATTTTCATTTATTTCAATGTGATAGTTGCGTTCATCGTATTGCTATATGACAATATGAGCACTTCTAAGCAGGGATCCTGGTCTGACGAGAAATTCCTTAAAAACTCAACGTGTTAAATAACATTAACAACTGAAAATTTTAAAACAAATATACTCACTGTTTCGCGATAATTTCTAAATGCCGATTCTTTTAAAAGATTTTTTAAATAATCTTCTATTTCTTCCTAGATTAAAACAAAAAATTCTTTTATTATAAAAGAGACAACTATTGTTAGACGACATTATCGTCTGGGAGTCACCATAACTATTATCAGAATTCAGTTTAAAAACTATGACTATTTTCAGCGATGTGTGTTGATATAATCACATACTTATGTGAATAAAAGGTAGCAGAGATAAATATTGCTTATCTTTGTCTCGTGCATGTTGACTTATATTCTTCAATAGTGCAGGAATACCTAGTGTGACTTGACTCAATAAATATAGGCATAATTAATTCAGTAAGAAAGTTCAGATTGCATTTAAAAATACGAGTTTATTATTAAATGAACATAATTAGTAAATATGCTTTTAACAAGATGGAGAAAAGATGAGTAGTGAGGTGAATCTTATTAAGAGTTAAACATTACATAATTAAACAGCCCCATCCAGTGGCTAAAATAATAAACAGTGAATCATTTAATTGGGCGATTAGAGATAAAATATTTATTTCATAAAAATGTGATTATGAGATTAATCGAATTTTTAAGGCAGAGGGTGCGTTTCTTGTTTTTTCAGTGGTGTCATCAATGGCCAAGAATACGACTTCATAAACTAACATCACAGCCCGCTTTACCTGGAAGACCCAATCATACTCCATTTATTCATCCACAGATCGTAATTTTGACTGAACCAGAGGACGTTTAATCTCCAATTCAGTACCCCAAGAGGTATTGATTTGTTATGGGAACTTGAAGGACTTTGTGACCCAGACAGATTTAACGTGCACCAATCACCATTTAATACAGGGGGATTCTTCGGTCTGCAGGATTCAAACTGACGTTCTCACGAACAGGAGCCCAACGTCCTGCCAGCCAGACTATCCCGGCCGCACTGGAGATGAAATAAGTGAATGCATTATGGAGTGGCATGTGACGGTTAAGTGTGAAAAAGGGGAAGGGAGAGGCCTCGAAAATGCTGAAAACTGAAAATTTATTTTCTCGTGAGTTTTTCGAGGATAAAAGTATTTATCACCATTCAGATTTTCATTCGTGTCTTCGAATTTGCGCGCTCGTATCTTTCTCATACCGTGGGAATGTTGACTAGGCATAATCCACAAAGTATGTAAAGGATAACTGATGACCCAAAAGCAAAAGGATCAACTCAAGTTTCACTTCCATACTTGCACTCTCAAAAGTCCTTTTTTGTGATTATTTCAATTTGCCACTTTTTTTAAATTTACAGTATGAGATTGATCAATGGGAAGGCATACAGCGGCGAGATCGCTCCATAATGCTGCTAAAAGCAACTGATTCAATAGGGTGTAACGAAGTGGTGAGTTCATGGTTCGCAGATCAGGAAGCCTTTAATATCGTACTATAAATATATTTTATAATCAGAAATGGCAATCCCGGTCACAGTGAACCAAACTGCAGCATTAATTTAAAATGTGTCTGTGACCCAAAATCAATCAAGTGAAGACTAATATTGTAAATATTAGGCGTATATCAGAATTAATTACAAAATTTGAATTTTCAAATAGCTCATAAAAATTAAATACAAGAAATGCGGATCGGGAATTCGAATCCAGCCGGCTGAAGAGTAGTAAATGCTGATTGGTGCTCGTTAAATCTGTCGAGTCACAAAGTCCTCCATGTACCCATAACAAATCCATACCTCTGGGTGTACTGAATTGGAGATGGATCGTTCTCTGGTTCAGGTCAAAATGACGATCCGTGGATATATGAATGGGTTCACCCAGTTAAACGGGTGTGATGTATGGATGTGGCAGAAGTCGAATTCTTGTCCATGAATGGAGCCACTGGAAAACAAGAACAATCACATCCCCTCTGCCTTTATGGCCTACGACAACAGTTTTGAAAACATGATTCCTTATGGATGAAAAATCTTAACTTTTTCTCTCGATCTCTATTTTATTCGTCAATTTCAGTTACTTTGAAAGAAAAAGAAACGGACATAGTTTTGCAAGCAGCGTATTATATTATTATTATAATTATTATAATTTTTTTTAAATCTGAGGTAAAAGAAATAATCTTCAGCGCTAGCTAAAGGGTTTCTGCTACCGGGTTAACAATGGGTTCCTTTCCAATATTTGTGTAATTTACTCTTCTTTTCATTAGCCAATCCCTGCAGAAAAGAGCGCAAGTTAAAAAATCCCTCTTTATGAAAATAACATTTGTGTTCATACTATGTGGAAAAATGTTTAGTACTTTTTTTAATATTTTTACTTATTTTCAAAACAAGTTTTGAGGCAAACATTAAGCTATGAAGTTGTATAATTCTTAAAAAAATATTTTTAATGGTGCAAAATTCTAGTTTGAACAATGTTCTGCATTGCAGACTACTTAGTTATCGTTGCAGTTCATTTATGCCTCACTAGAGCTCTAACAATGGGCTATTGACGACTGTCTGAGAAACATCACTGAGGTTGATCCGTAGACATGCCATCACAATTTTAATCCTCTGCAGAGAGGATGGCACCCCCGCTTCGGTAGCCCGACGACCTGCGCGCGAAGTCGAGCACTTTATGGAAAAACAATTTAACGAGGACCCATACCGCACACCCTCGGTCCCTACGCAGACTGATCAAAGTGGTCACCCACCCGCACACTGACCGCAGCCATTGATGCTTGACTTCGGTGATCTACTGGGATCGCGTATTAACTCTCTTTACTTTCATTCATGAGTATTAATCATCTGCAAAAGACCTCCAGTTGAAAACGTATGCGTATTTATTCTACACCGCATGCATTTTTTCTTCTTCTTCCTTTTGAAAACAAAAATCCCGTGACGACTTTTATTTATAATATTTCCGCGTTCGGTTATTTTTACAGAATCCTCAAAGGGTAACTTTATTTATAATGACTGTTTCTTACTATATATGAAAATCTAATGATGGCGTCGCAGTTTTCCATTGTCGTCCGTGCATTTTTATTGGCTGGAAAATCACATGATAGAATCCAGTTTTCCCACATTAATTTAAAATTGGTTTGGTTGTCATCAGCATAAAATTGATATAAGTCACAAAGTTACTGTTTTCCTACAAATATTTTTGCATCCCTAATTTAAAGATATTTATTTACCTGAACTGTTAGTATTACGTTTTTGATTTTGTTTGTTTTCTAAATTAAGAGTTTAGGAGGATTGTTATGAGTGTTGGATTACCCATTAGGCCTGACTAGGCCATGGCCTGGGGCCCCCTTAAAATGGATTTTTTGAAAATAAATTTAAAAAAATTAAGATGTTCTCCGTGAAATTAATTTTGATAACATAGTTGAGTTTATTGATCGCAAGAGCATAAAAAAAAAAAATTTTGAATACCAAATTTCAGGTACCGTAAACCGGGGCGAGTCTACCCATTTTTTCAGTTTGTCAACTTTCAAGTGGTCAAACTTTTGTAAATATTAAAGAAAAAAGGCTTTTAATAGGTGTTTTGGAATCGCTATTTATCCCTCTTTAAAGCTGTGAAATCGATTTTNAAATTTAATTTATTATTATTTATTTTAATTTTAAATATGATTTCTTAAATGAAAAGATCTATAAATACTTTTATATTTGAGTAAATAAAAAAAATTTAATCTAAGGGCCCCAAAAATTTGAATGGCCTAGGGGCCCCGCGTACGCTTAATCCGACACTGACTGTCATAATTATTATTATTATTAGAATAACGAAATTCTACGTTATATTTTAAGATTAAGTTATTTGAATCGGTCTTATTAACAGTTTTGCAATTATTATTCTTTGGTGCAAATGACATCAATGTACTGTTACGAATTTCGGTTAAAGAGATTCGTTTCATGATTTTGGACTTCACTTTCAGCTTCATGCGCAAAGTGATGAATGAAAACATTGTATTTAAAATATATCCATCCATTTGGTAAGCAAAAATATTAAAATGCAGTTGTGTTAACTCACGAAATTTTTTACGACAATATACTTTTAATTATACATGTTACTTCATAAAAAGATTTATGTCCATTAATAGATCTTAATGGTATCATAAGGGAAATATTTGGACAAGGGAAGTGGAGGAACGAGTGCTCTTTTCAGAGCATATATGTTTACTTTAATAATTTCAAGTGTTTGTTACAAGAAATACCAATCGGGGTTGATAAACGTCAGCTAACAGAGAACTTAGCCCACTAGTATTAACTAGTTGATAAATGACGCTCTTACTTTCTTTCGAATAGTAGCTTGTTCTGCAATTTCAGCTGATTCTAGAGGAAAAGGAGGCAGGGCTGGTATTTTTCTAGACTTTAACACTATACTTGATCGTTGTGTTCTTACATTCTTTTCTATCCTATAACGAAAAGGTGTTCTTAAATTAATATTCATATCAAAGCACAACAAAAGGGTCAAACATTGATCACTAGAATGGACCCACCCCCGCCTTTGCTCGTGTTACGTATACATTCTGTGATTTAAAAAAAAAAATCCAAAATTCTCTAAATGACATTTGAGGAGAAACAAGAAACAGAGATGATTTGTATTGTGTTATCAACGAAATTGACTTGTTAATGACTCGAAATTGACTTAATTGAGTCCGGTTACAAAGACAAATGACCACTAGATGGCAGCACTACGAAAGAAGATTGAAAATTGAGAACGTATTTGATCTTTGAATTATTTATATTAGATACGCTATTAAACCGCTGGAAGAATTCGAAGATCATATTAAAAAAGAAAAAAGAGAATAACTCAGCCATAACAAAAATTGACCAACGTCTCAAAAAGTACTCAATAATATTTGCGATTTTTTGGGAAGGCCAAGAGCTGTTTTTCGAAGGCTGCGTCGAAACATGAAATGTAATGATGCTTTTTTGCGAATGATATGCTATTTTTATAACTGCTGTGAGTTTGCAACTGTTACTCATGACTGTTTGGTCAAATTTAGTCTAACTAAAGCCAACGCTGTCTAAACTTTTTTAAAAATGACGCAAAATGGAGAAAAGCCACAGTTTTGTGAAAATGAAAAGCATTTGTAGTCCTAATCTTTTAATATTTAAAAACCTGCTCCAATACTGCATTACTTAGGATCATAAGAATTTGCAAATTCTGAGAATAAGGCAGTGATTTTGATAATTTTCTACTAGGTCGAAAAATGTCACTAAATTAGCAATTTTTAAAAAAAGAATATAATAACTTATAAGATAGTTAAGTTATTTGCCTTTTCTGAATCCCAGATAATTCTTCACGGCAAGATTATGTATCTAGTTTAAAATCATCGCATTGCTTCAAGTGTAAGGCACTTAAAGTATCATTTTCTTTGGCGACGGAGCTTCGTTTAAGATCTTACTAGTCCGTACACATTGTCAGTGGTCCGTTAACATATCTCGATTAGGTTTTATTTTTAAAAAGTTAATAAGGCGAATTTAAATGAAAAATTATAATACAAAGAGTATGTAATGTTTACAGTTATGATGAACTATACTATTTTGTAACCAAAACAGCTTACCATCCATATCTCTATATCAATTGCTAATCTAAGAATCCGTGGAAGGGAGGGGGGCAGAGAAGGGGCTTTGACCCCTCACTCACATTTTATAGATGAAGAAAGACAGCCCTCGCTAAGATTACAATTTTTCATTCAATATTCGTGTTATTAAATTTACAATTAAGAAAAAATTATAATAATTTTTTTGTGTAACAATTTTTAAAAAAAAATTATTATTTTTCCAAGCGAGCTCTAACATTTCCTTGGTGAAAACTGCTATCAAATCATCTCTAACTCTTCCATCTGCAGAGGAAATATATCTTCCCTAATGCTGTTCAAATCTCTCAAGGAACAGAATAAAAACAAAACAGCGAAATAGAATTTTAAAATATAAAGTTAAATGAGCGATAAATAATTTGCAGGTAATTTATGTCATTCATTTTATTTTAATTTTAAAACAATTTAAATCAAGTAATTAAAATATTCTAAGTTCGAATTCATGATTGCCATTTTGTGAGGTTATATATATATATATATATATATATATATATGTGTTAAGGCAGAGGGTGCGTTTCTTGTTTTTTCAGGGGTTCCATTTATGACCAAGAATACGATTTCAG